GACGTAGGAATTTCAAGACAGGTTATTGACGTAAAGAAAACTAGTTTAACTTAAGTCCCTGATACCAATGTGTACTAGTTCTTTAGTACGATGGCCAGCAGGTCAACCAATCCTTTTCTGTCACATTTCTTTATTCCATATTCAACTTTATTATCTATATATATAAAAGAAAGTCGTGTTAGTTACACTATTTATAACTCAAGAATGGCTAAATCGATTTGGATGACTATTGGTGGGGAGGTAGCTTAGAACCAGGAGACGGACATAGGATACTTTTTACCCAATTCCTTTTTTTTACTTTTTACCGAAAATCAAGAACGGGAACGGGAAATATCGGGATTGCGCGTACGAAGTCGCGGGCAGAAGCTAGTATTGACATAAAGTCGAAAATCTAATGAATAAATTTGACAGATTTGGGTAGGTCAATTTGCTGGCGAGTGTAAGTTCGATCATGATTGTCTTGTCTATGAAGTTTTTAGTTTACTCCAGTGGCGAAAAGTGTTATTAGGAGTAATTTTGAATGGTCAAATGCAACAAACGCATCCTTTATCATTATTTAAATTTAGAAGTTAATACTACATCGTATAAAACAAAGTTACTTTCGTCAGTCCCTATGTATGCTTTGATCTTTGAAACAAGGCAACGGGATTTGATGTAGTTTTTTAATAGATAGTGGTTCGAAGCCATACTCGTGCGATGCTAGCTCTTGATATGAACATAGCATTTTGCTTCGACACCAAAATTTTTTTAACACTGATAATTAGTGGACATACTGGACATATTTCCAATTTTCCATGTCGAAAAAGTAACTAAGACATAATAAGCGCAATTTTTGTCGATTCCCACATTTACAGCACATGATTTTAATGTTCTACTACTATTCTTCAGTGTAACATCTAAGAAACTACGTATATACTAATAAAGTAATATTTCTATAAAGTATCACGTTTTAAAATCAGACGTGACCCCATCAGTTTGCTTACTTGCAACTGCATACAAATTGTTTGATGTAATTATTAGTTCGAAACTCGTAAAGTTTCCAACACAAATATACAAACTAACATTTAACACCATGTTTGAAAGGCGAAATTTACTTGTACATTTAAAAAAATCACAAATACTTACACACGAAACTCCAAATTAAAGTGGACACAAAAAACACCAACATTTTTCCTCGATAAATAAACACTTTAAAAAATAAATAAATTTATTTTAAATTTTAATACACTGTCATCACTTCAAGTTTGTTTAAATGAATAAATAGATATATGATAGTGATGCGACCAGATCCTGTTGGTCGGCTTTGTACACTGTCTCTTGGTGGACAAGACCGTACTTGCATTTAATGCTGTGCCTTTTTTATGGGATAAGCCGGTAAATGAGCAAACGGATCACCTCATGGTACGTAATCGACGTCGCCTATGGACACCCGAAACATTAGAGGCGTGCTACAAGTGCATTACCGGCCTTTTGAGGATGGTTGGGGATTCAGGGGTCGAGTATATCGGGGGAGGGGGGCGGGTGGTAATTGGGCCTTTAGCTGTCTCACTCATATGGGAGGATGAAGGCTGTCACCTTAATTACCTTAACATCACTATATAGTATAAAACAAAGTCGCTATCCGCCGTCTGTCTGTCCCTATATATGCTTAGATCTTTAAAACCACACAACAGATTTTGATGCGGTTTTTTTAATAGATAGAGTGATTTTTTTTACATATTATCACGGTATCATGTACGGGGGAAGAGCTGTGAATCACAATTCTACGCAAACGAAGTCGCGGGCAACAGCTAGTATCCAGTAAATTGAAGATCAGGAGCAATAACAGAAAATTACAGTTTTTGCAGTGGTTATCTATCTAAGTCTAAATTAGTACTAAGAGGTATTGTCTTCTAAGTTTATTTGTGTATGAGATTTTGGAACAAACTAATAAAGGATGGGAAAGACCTAGATCAAAATAATAAGCAATTAAACTTGGTCTACTTTCTGACCTGGTAACTTAGACCTAGTGACCGGACAGGTCAATAGACTAGTTTTTGAATCTATTTTGTTATTTCCCACATTATATTTTAAATTAAACTATGTGAACTTGAAAACTGTAATTTAATTGTGACGATAACATTAATATTGTTCATATTTAAAAGTAGGTGTAACTGCATTCCTTTATTAGTCGTCCGCGTCGGAAGAAAAAATATTACGATTTTCTGAGAGTTTTTTTTTTCAGTTTAACTTTAACACATAACATTACGCCTTTTATGCCCGAAGGGGTAGGCAGAGGTGCACATGACAGCACTTAATGCCACTGTAGAATGTAACACCGACTTTTCACTATTTATGATGAGTCATATGTAATAGGGGGTGAGCCTATTGCCATATATCGGGCACAATTCAAGACTCCTACTACTGAGAATCTTATTTTAATAAACCCAGTAATATTTTGCCCGACCCGGTAATCGAACCCACGACTCCCTGCCCGGCAGTCGCACTTGCGACCACTCGGCCAACGAGGCAGTTTTAACTTGAACTTTTTAATATTTTTACTTTTTTTTTATAATTTGGATAAGTATATATTGTGTAGTTATTTTTGAGTATATCGAGTACCTCACACATCTGCACACGTCACTTGTTTTTAGCGTGAAATAACATTCTTTCTTTACATTTTTTTTAAAGGAGGGAGAATATCATCCAATGACTCTTCCCGCCTGGCCATGCTCATTCCTACTCCTGTTCTTCGTTCTTTATTTAACTAGAATTACATGCTGTGTATAGATAGACAAACAGACGTAAATAAAGACAACAATTTTATATTTCTAGGAATACGAAAACACGAATATACATATAACTACATATAAGTGTGAAATAGTGTAATTATATGTTATTAACAGCAATCGCAATATATTTTAAACACAAGACAAACTACAAGTAAATCAATGAGTCATACTTAACGAGCGGATCTTGAGAAATGTCCGTATCTATGTGTGTTGCGTTCTCATAAACAAGTAAATCCAGTTATGTATGTAGATTACAAAGATAGCAGTATTGTGTGAGTGTGCGAAGTTTTTAGTCAATTCAGTCTTTTTTTTTTGGTAAATATCGGTTTAAGTTTTCAGTTAGTATGTTAATATTACTTTAGGTATAAAACAAAGTAGCTATCCGCAGTCTGTCTGTCCCTATGTATGCTAAGATCTTTAAAACTACGCAACGGGTTTTGATGCGGTTTTTTTAATAGATAGTGTGATTCTAAAGGAAGGTTTGTATGTATAATGCGTGTGTACCTACTGCACCCGTGCGAAGCCGGGGCGGGTTGTTAGTATTTAATAAAATATGTATCCAATTCGTGTTACCAACGCCTTTTGTATTTCCCTGATCATATTGGTAAGTTTGATTTCGATTTCGAGGAATTGACAATATTTTAAGCATTTTTTTAAGAATTTGGTAGTAATATTGTACTTTTCTTTCCTTAACAGTGTTCTCAAAATGTATGATACAGGTTAACGTCATCTTTTTTTCTAATGATCGATTTGTCAGTTGGAAATACCCCTTAATTAAAAATCCAATTAACGTCCACTACAATCGAAACTTAAGGTTTATATCCCAGCTCAATAGTTTTGTTTGATAACTAAGTACATAGTATTTTATTTACAAAATCCCCTTTAACCGCACTTATGTGAAAAATGTAAGTAGACAATACAATTATAATGAACTACTTCAATTAATTCCTGTTTTAGGAAAATACCTTAAATCCAATAAAATAGTTATGGTCATATTGTAACGTCATTGGTTTAATGATAACGACGTTAAATAATTTAATTAATTGATGACGTGATGAATATATGAGGTAAGCCAGAGGCGTCAGGCCCGTGGAAAATTCATCGGATGGGCTCCCCGTTCCCAATAAAATACATAGAATTACCCTCCCCTTCCCCATTACCCCCAATCCCTGAATCCCCAACGGTCCTCAAACTCCTAATCCCCAAAAGGCCGGTAACGCATTTGTAACGCCTCTGGTGTTCCAGGTGTCCATGGGCGACGCCGATTGCTTACCATCAGGTGATCCGTCTGCTCGTTTACCGGCTTATGCCATAAAAAAGAGAGAGATGTATATGTCTGAATAGGAGCCATTTCCAGCTGGGGTTCATAACATTTTGTCGACTTGCGACCCTGTAGTTACGCCAGTGAAGGTAACCCTTTGTTATATTGGTAATTTGATAGTGCCGGCACATCAAGCTATTCGTGTCTAATAGATTTACGATATTATTTCAAAATAATAAAATTGAAAATGCATAACACTTGAGGGTACATTGACCTGCATTAAAGCATTGTTCATTACTTATTATTGAATTAATGTTATATAATGACATTACTCGAAAATCACAACTAAATTTAGTGAAAAATTATCGAGTACCTATTTGACTTTTATATAATATATGTGCAATGAAATGATAATGATATCTCGCTATCTCGCTCATATTCATGCACATTTTGTATGATGACGTCATCATACCTAGTTTATTCCGTGTGTCCCTTTTTAGTTTCCTATTACTTGGTAATTCGCTATTGTTATCGATTTTTTTATGTATTCGATTTTTTTTCATTACACGTTTTGTGTAATATGTATAAATTTTTATCCAAACTTAATTAAGTTCACTTCCGTAGTTCTATGACAATCCCTTACGATAACGTTCGATCCAGGAAAAACATAACAATGAATTTATTTATTTATATTTATGAATGATTAATGCAGTAAATAAAGTTGTATATAAAGGTAGACTTACGCGGTAGGCATTATATTTAATGTACGGTCCTGTCCTCCAAGAGGCAGTGCACGAAGCCGGCCAACGCGATCTGGTCGCATCACTATCACATATTTATTTTAAATTTAAAACAAACTTTATTCGAACGAATTTATTTATTTAAACAAACTTGAAGTGATGACAGTGTATTAAAAGTTTTAAATTAATTTAATTTATTTTTTAAAGTGTTTATTTATCGACGAAAAAATGTGGAAAAGTTTGGTGTTTTTTGTGTCCGCTTTAATATGGAGTTTTGTGTGTAAGTATTTGTGATTTTTTTTAAATATACAAGCAAACTTCGTCTTTAAAACATAGTATTAAAGGTTAGGTTATATTTATGTTGAAAACTTTACGAGTTTCGAACTAATGATCTCATCAAACAATTCGTGTGCAGTTGCGATTAAGCAAACTGATCGGGTCACGTTGTTTTCTGACAATAAAACGTGATACTTGATAGAAAATGTACTTTATTACTATATACGTAGATTCTCAGATGGATTGATTACACATAATGAACTATGCTTAGAACAAAGTAATGAATGAAGAATCAAAGTTTAAAAAAACATTGTTAATGATAACGCGGAAGCATAGGTGTGTGTCGCGACCGGGTTTTTCTAATAACCTCCAAGAAACTAGTTTTTAAAGTTTTCTGAAGTTACTGCCATAATATAACATGGCTACTATACTAAGTTTTGTATTATCTGTTATATACACTTAAACTGTCAAACACCGCGAGGACACCGGTGACCGCAACCTATTGTTCTTTAATTGTGTCTATAATGACGGTACTCAAAGGGTTAAATAAACCACGCTAAAACTATTACTCATGAACCAAAATGGCAGGTACCCCAACTACAATAAAAAAAATTTCCGAATAATCCTGAATGTAGGAACGTTTTTTTTAAACATGATGCTAATATTTTTGAATTAATATGGTTTCGAAATGAAATCAATTGAAAAAAAAAACGTATAATACGTATTATTCTGTTTATTCAACCTTAAGAAAGGCAAAAAGGTAGCTTAGATAACTGTCATTCAAATCAAACAACTACAAACGTTATGTAATAGACGCGAGTAATTATTATTTGAGATTACACAATATTATTTTTAATGAACGAAGTAATTAAAAGAATAATGTCCTGTATAATAACATACCGCCAAATACCATAAAGTCAGAAAAAACAAAGGTACCTACAATTTGTAGGCTAAGTTTAAACAGGTTGACTATTGGACGACCTTAAGCATTTTTAATCGACTTCCCAAAAAAGAGGAGTTTCTCAATTTGTCTGCATGTTTGTTTAGATTAATATAAAAATATGAACTACATAAGTAGATGTACTAAAAATACTGTATGTTTAAATCAGTATATCTCACGATAGTTATTATAAAAATAAACATACATAGAATGTGTTATAAAATCGTGTTTGACCTATAAAACTAATTACAATTAAATATGTAAATTATGTTTTGTACTGAAAATACCGCAACTCCCACGTAATGTAAATTTGGTTTATGTTTAAAAAAGATCACAAACTATAAAATATAGAATACAATGAGACATTTGGAATATGGAAAATTTTAAGTTATTTATTCACGTGAATTTTGGTAGGTACTCATGGTACTGTAAAAAGATGCAATTTACAATAACATAATTGATTCGACAAGTAAAACCTTATAATAGAAACATGCACAAAATAGCTTTCGAAAAAAAAACATTTAATTTAAATATAAACGATTACATCTCGAACCTTTTACTCGCCGAAGGGATAAGAAAAAGAAAACGTCATGAAATGTATTCGATACCCACTTTTTTGCGAGTTTGAGCAAAATGCATCACCTGATTGTTAAGGAGGCCATACACGATAGGTTTTTCACACAGAATTATGAATTATTATATCTGTGGTTTTGCTTGATAGTTTTAGCCGTGCAAGCATAACTGACAGGCAAGTCCTAGTCCTGTACAACTCGGTGCATGTACAACTCGGTTATGCTTGTCGGTTTTTCATGCAAAATTATAACCATTATACGCTAAAATAAATAAATAAATAAATTATGCAAAACCTAGCGTGTATGGTGGAGAATGTAACGGGACGACCTAACCTAACGCGGAGAACCTAACGGGTAACCGGGGCTCCGGCTCGACGTGCAGGAGAAGGAACGGGTGGTTTTTAGTCATTAAGAGTCTGACACTCCCTCCCGCCTCACCCAGGCGGGAGCAGTCATACGATGATTTTCCCCCCTTAAAAAAAATCGTGTATGGCCTCCTTTATAGAGGGTTCTGTGTGTTTTGATATCTGTCATGCAATTCGAAATACCTTAAATTCACGATATTCTTAATCTCTGGACGCTTTGTAAATGATGCTGACGCTGTGAAAATTTGTACCTATGTATGTAAGTACGCTGTTCTTAAATGGTCATAGTGTAAAATTAAAAATTAGACATTTTGTATTCTCACAAAGAAAACATAAATTAGATTTATTACATTATTGGTTTTAGTACCTCTATTAATTTTACCTATAGGAAGTCCCTAAGTAACAAATAAGTACTATACCTAAGTTGAATTGTTCACATTTTCAGGAATAAACGCGTTAATAAATACTATAAATATTTGTGCTCAAATTGTCCAAAAGGAATGACAGTATAGGGAAAACCTTGCATTATGCGATCACGTTCCAAAATAAATAAATCTTAGAAATAACATCCTTATTTATATGTACATAATGTTTAGATACTTAGTACATACTAAAATAGATGATGCTATATTAATTAAAACAAATATTTACATAACATTAGAAGGAGAAGGATAGTAGGTTTAGTTTGGATAAATATTTTGTAAATAATATAGGTAAAATGTTATCAAACTGTCAAACACCGCGCGGTCACCGGTGTCCGCACACCTATTGTTCTTTAATTGTGTATATAATGACGGTACTCAGACACCAAAGTAAAGTCGAGGGCGTCACACAGCATATTACGAAACTCAAGTAGTGGTGGACTGGTCACGTCGCACGCAAACAAGGTTCGTGGTGCAAAACCGTGATAGAGTGGAGACCGTGGGGCGAAAAACTCGTTGCGCGTTACCAGATGCGTTGGTACGATGACATTAAACGAACAGCTGGCACGAAATAAACAGAAATTGCAACCGAAGAGATGGTAGATACCGAAGGAGGCCTATACCCTAAGGGTAGAAAAAGACTAAAGAAGAAAGAAGATAACATGTCAATAGACACTTTTAATAATTGAGTCATAGTTAATGCAAGTGCAATACAACTAAGCAGCGATTTAACCTACCCTAATCTGTCAAAGTTTTTCATTCAATTTTCGACTTCATATCAAAACTATACAGTTGAAAATCTAATAAAGATAATTGACAGAAAGGTTAAGGTTTACCTGCTGTTGTCTGTATTACAATCTCAAGTTCGATTGGTCTGTCAAAGTTTCGATTGGCCTGTCTGTATGGTTTGTTGGTAAAATTTCGATTTAAACTAAAGTATAGTTGTAGAAGATTTAAATCATGTGCTTTAGATGTGAGACTGAACAAAAATTGTGCATAATTAATAAGTCTTAGTTACTTTTTCGTCATGGAAAGTTTGAAATGTTTCCACTAGGTATCTTCAATTCAAAATACTATGTTTATATCAAGATCTAGCTTTGCACTTTTCACACGAATGACTATCTATTAAAAAATCTGCATCAAAATCCGAGGCCTAGTTTCAAAGATCAAAGCATACATAGGTACAGACAGCGGAAAGTGACTTTGTTTTATACTATGTAGTGATAACTTCTGAATTTTAATAATGCTAGAGGGTAATGTGGTTGTCGCATTTGAACATTTAAAATGACTACTAATAACACTTTTAGGCACTTGAGTATAAACTAAAAACTTCACAGACAAGACAATCATGATCGAACGTATACTGGCCAGTAGATCAACTGACTCCATTCTGTCAAATTTGTTCACTGGATTTTCGACTTCATGGCAATACAATAAAGTTGAAGATGTAATTGAGAAGACAGAAAAGGATTGGTTGACTCGCTGGCCATCGTACTAAACAATTAGTAACACATTGGAATCAGGGACTTAAGTTAAACCAGTCTTCTTTACGTCAATAACCTGTCTTGAAATTTCTACGTCAGATATTTTTTGCACTATACATAGCAAACCAGTGGTCTTTATCTATTGCAGTTTTTTTACTCCAAAACCTGTTGCTAAAGATACAATCAATGTTTTTAATCGTTTTGTTTATTTTGGAGACTTTTTGGTTTCTCATGTTTTGTGTTGATCTTATTGATTTTCCTTAAATCTGTTTTGTTATTGACTTCCAATGTTGTATCTGCACATCTTTATTTTCTTACCTGGAAACCAAATCCTTGTGCTGATTGAACATACCTAACTGACGAAGAATATAATATAAGATAAGATACCTGTTTAGGATAAAAATTGGCATAATGTTATTTTCTGAGGGACTAAACCACGATTCCTTGATTTACCTGGACCTGGATTTAATTGGACCTCCGGTAAACTCAGTCGCACGACGACACGACGATATAACGCAAGTGTTGCTTCACGTCGGTTTTCTGTGAGGTCGTGGTAACACTCACGTCGGTTTTCCCACACAATTCTTTATATCACCTAGCATAAAATCTGGTTTGTTCATTTTTAGTCCGTAATGCTGTAATAAATTTTTATTAATTGCATATGTTTTCCTCAGAACCGAATAATCTTTAGAATTTCTCACATGGAATTCCCAAGAAGTAGCAAAGCACGTGTAAACGATAATGCATACGATGACATGCGATAAGGAATATAAATAAATAACATAAGTACATAATATTATTATTTACTAGATATTGGTAAAGTAATGGATAAGTTAAGTAGTTTGTTTATCTTTACATACCTACATGTATATTGGTATACTTAGATGTCGAGACACTCACTCAAATCACGATTTTTTTTTCGTCTCTGGGTTAAAACCTTCTAGAGCCTCCGCCTGAGATAGTGGAAGAGATTGTCAGAAATCATTTACTTTTATCCAGCTATGGTACATTATTACGAGTCCTATATTGTAGATGTGATAGAATAGGGATAGTCCTCTTGCATATATCAGATATAATTTCGTCTATGCTATAACCAAACACATTTTTGTAGGTATAACAAATAACATAACATAACATAACATCATATCTTTTATCCCCGAACTACCCCTTCGGCAGAGGTGTACATTATGCCACTGTACAATGTAACACCCATTTTTCACTATTTTTATGTTATGAGTCCCATGTAATAAATAGGGGGTGAGCTTATTGCCATATACCAGGCACAATTCCAGACTCCGTGCTTTAAAAACTCGGTAATACTTTGCCCGACCCGGGAATCGGACCCGAGGCCCCTTGCCCGGCAGTCGCATTTGCGACCACTCGGCCAAGGAGGTTGTAAAAAAATAATAAAAAATCCGATGATACTTTTTTCGACATAGAAACTTGAACTGACTTCGATGACCGAAAACGTCGCACTCACGGTCACTCAACTAATGAGAGTCTGACCATAACATTCTAGTCTAATATTAATAGTAAACAAAATATAAATTGTAAACTTGAAATATTGTAAACTTTAACCATCCATTTGTAAGATGTAGTTGTATTGAGATAAAATATCCACAACAAACATTTCCTTATGACGTTCTGACACAGAGGTTATCTTTGATCGAAATAATTACTCGATGAGCAAATTAGTATTAATTTATTACTTATGCATCAGTTCTGTTCATACCGGTTATTCCCCGTTAGGCAGAGGTGGAGATATTAGAAGTGTTGGTTAATGGTCACTTTTAGGCAGATTACCTATGTAACAAAATCAAGTCTATTACAATAAAAATTATAACTCTTGGTGTCTGTTCACGTATGTACATTTCCATAAAAAGGTTCAAAGTTTTAGAAAAATATAGGTTTCTTTGCAATTAACTTTTACTGTGCTATCTGTAGATACACGAATAATATCCAAAACAAAATTATTATCATTACTAATCCAAACATTTCTTTTTCAACAGCATCACAAGAGTGCACAACTCCAACTGGCAGCCGGAGTAATTGCGTCTCTCTCTACCAGTGTCAGCCTCTTTTCAATGCCTTCGAACAGCGTCCACTGCCCACCCACGTGGTCAGCTACCTGAGGAGATCACAATGTGGCTTCGAAGGTTATGTACCCAGGGTGTGCTGCGGTCCTCTGCCAGAAGAGCAGGAAGCTACATCGGCGAGACCTACGGTTAGAGATTATTGTTTTAAAAGTTCTGACTTCATCCTCGAATGGGATGAAGTCAGGAGATAAAGTTTAATGAAATTCAGTAGACGACGTTAAGAATTTATTCCAAGTTCTCAATACTTTAACAAAACACCATTTACAAATCCCATATGTCCCTTAAGCTTTTGACTGCCGATCAAAAACTGCTGGTAGGTCACCGGTGACCTACGCGGCGGTTAACATGCTAACCATCAAATGTTCAAGTCTAATGACTCTTTATAAAAAGCACCATTTTATTCCACAAACTTCTTTATCACCGTTACGTCTAGAGCCTACGTCCGAGCACTACTAGACATGAGCCCCTTTATCACTATAAAAGGAAATGAGCCTATAATCTTAATAGGCTGGTTGACCGTTACCTTAAAAGGTGTTGACAACAGCCGTTAATCTTGTTGCAATGACCTACGGAACCGGAATAAGTACCACGTTTATATATAAATTAGAAATTATAAATACAAACTACAAGGCTATTACAAACGCTTTTTAATCTTCGAAGAAGTACACTGAGGTGCATGTCTATAAATTTAACAATTAGGTATGTTTATGTTATGAGCTCCATATAAAAACGGCAGTCACAATTTAAGTACTATTACTCAGATCAGAAAACAAAACTAAAACACCTTCTAATATCTATCGAAACCCTCCAATCAAAATTTCAATCTTAACCTCAACAATCGACCACCGACAAATAAACCAAAACCCAATCAATATCTGACAAATGGTGTCCTATAGTACTCCTTCTATACTTCTATTTTATCTCCTAAACACCACTAATACTACCTTTATATAACTGAACAGCCTCGACCAAACCAACCTCCGACGCAAGGTAGCAGCGACTTGTTCCCCGAAGATTCTTCACCAGCTCCAAGAAACCAGTGTGGAATTGACACGACCGGAGATAGAGTTTATGGAGGAACCATCACAGACCTGGACGAATTCCCTTGGATGGCTTTGTTGGGTTATAGAACAAGTAAGTCTAAATTGAATATTTCATTTCTCTACGCATTTAAGCGATTTTATCATAGAAAAGAAAAAGTGTCGAGTTAGAGAACTCGTTCAAAATTTCATGATATTTTAGGTAACAATTCCAACTCCTTGCCAGATAGGTGGAGTCTTAAGTTAGAAGTGAATTTGTAACTATTCATCGAGAATAATTCCAAACTCACTGTTACTGTGTCATGAAGCAATATTGTTTGCCAATTGCAATAGGCAATTTTGGTGTAGGTATAGGGGATAATAATCATTAATAGATATACATTTTCATAGTTGTGTAGAGTAAAATTGCAATGCATATAGAAAATGTGAAAGCCAATTGATATCTATCAGAGTTCTAATAAAAAATACATCTTAAAATAAAATTCCTTCAGTACGTTTAATGTATTGTTCTGTCTATCCAGAGCGAAGAATAAAAAAGGCTTGACAAAAGAAACCACGTCAATTTGTAATCTACAGAGTGTTCTCAAATTGACTGTTCAAAGCGAAATTCGCTTACATCAAGTACGTTGTAGTAAAGAGATGAATGTCTCGTACATTGGGCATTCCCTAAAGACCCATTTAAGTAATCACGCTGTCTACTTGGCGGCCATACGAATTACAGCTTTTAAATTACAATTTCTACATTATATTTACCTACATGCTACGTATCTGGATAAAATTATCCCGTGTGGGTTAGATAGAAACTATATAGCATCATCTACTAAATGCTGTACAATTCTTTAGCTTCCATCAAAGTCATGCATTTGGTCGTACAAGTACATCAGTTAGAGTACTAAACTAAACCCATGGTTTTACTTAGTCCCGTTCTCAGACATTACCTATTATTTTATCGACACTACACATCTAGTTATCCTAAATTTCTTAAACAGATTTCTATCTTAAAATTCATCCTTGTTGTACATTTTGAAGTATGGGTGTGTCAGCGATGTTTCATACACAATTTCCTTAAGATAATTTTTCGGAACTCCTTGTTCCATTATTATAATAGTTCATATTTAAGGTCAATGAACTGAATGAGGATTATTTTTGTTCTTGACAGATAGTAAGATATCTTGTAGTTTGTTCATAGTTATTAAAATACAGGAAATCCTTTTACAATAATTGCCCCATAAGCATTGAGTTGAAAGAATGATAAGGCTCACTTAATTCACCTTTCCATTTAATACGTTCATCACCAAGCCCATACTTAATTTAGTATCTGTCTCCAAGCTTGTAAGCAGTGTCGCAAACAATAAGGTTATACAAAATATATACCATCATAACATAAAAATATCTTCAAATTTCTTCGTTTTAAAATATTTATCGTTAACCTATGAGGTTGAGGGTCCATACAAAAGTTACCTGTACGTACTCTATGATACTCCGTGGAAGATTCCCATGCTATATTTAAAACTACGAACTGGTTTGCTAACTCAAGAAGATAAAAAAGTAAAAAAAATGTTAATGGACTTGTTTATCTGTGAGAAAATCGACCTTCTGGAATATTGAAGATATATTTTAGATTATAGAACAATACTATTGGAGGTATATATATAAGGCAGTAATGGGTTTCGACCATGGAGTTTTATAAACCTGTGTCTTTTTCACGCATGGGACCAGTCGGGACCACAGACCAAAAAGATCGTTAATCTTTTGGCGGACGATAAGTAGATTCTGTGTGTGTTTGTTTCATTGTGTGTGTGTGTGTGTGTGTCTGTGTCTTATAAACCTGACTGTGGGAACAGCTGTATAAATCATTTTGAAAAGATGAATTAAGAAAAGGATACCGACTACCTAGATTCTAGCCATTGCTGCCACCCCGAAGGTTACTCCGATCAATGATTGTAATATGTTTGTTGTCTTATAGTAGATAGATAATTACCTCTGGTCTAACTATTGTGAAAGTGTTCTTTTGAAAGTCTATCATATTGAACTTACAGATTCGTATCACACCCTATCCTTTCTAAACAACGCTTTTGGTCTCTAAATAAGTTTTTTAATGTGTTTCATTTGATTTTTTGTACAGATAAGGGAACCACGTCGTACCAATGTGGTGGTGTTCTGGTCAACCATCGTTATGTCCTGACAGCTGCTCACTGCATCACAGGAGCTATCGAGCAGGCCGTAGGAACATTGTAAGTTATTTGAATATTACTTTATAGATATTTAAGTTAACTGGTATAGACTTCCATGAAAATACATACAGTTGTAAAAATACCTAAAGAATATCATTTGTTTGGGCCTTTCCCTGAAAGTGCCGACGAAAATATAATGGTACGTATCGTTAGACCTAGCCATTTGGATGCGATCTCCGGTCACCGTAAGCACGGGCCTGTGGACGGCGAGCATGGGTGGCTCGCAGTCCGACCAGAACTAGACTCGAGCGTACGGCGCGTCGCGATCCGCGCGCTCCTCAAAGAGCCATCAGACCACCACGGGCCCAATAGGGCTGATGCCGATATGGAGCCGCGGAAAACCTAACGGGTTACCGGGGCTCCGGCTCGAAGTCCAGGAGTAGGAACGGGGTGGTTTTTAGTCAGTAAGAGTCTGACACTCACTCCCGCCTCACCCAGGTGGGAAAAGTAATTCGATGATTTTCCCCCCTTTAAAAAAAGCCATTTGGATAAATGGCGTAATAGTTAATATGGAGTACAGTTGTAGGATCCAAGATGAAGAAGTTATACCAGTTCAAAGATTCATCATTTTCATACATGTATTGCTTTCTAAAGGTGCTAGGAAACGCAACATAATGATCCATATTGGTAGAATAAAGAATCTGATGATAATGCGAAAAGATTTCGCAGTAGTTTTCTTTTAGTTGGAATAATTTTGTGTACATAAAAGTGCATCTTGCAAAAATCAATCCAAAGTCTTAGGATTAAGGTTGATTTTGACGTTCGTTGTATGAAATTTCTGTATAAAACTTTATTCGATACAGAGATATTGGATTGACATAGTTGATGATGTCGGCCGTTAACTCGTAGTATGCATAGTAGAGAGCTTAGATCTACGCGAGACACAATGCGTTAACTATTATGTCTTAAATACCGGCTTCAAGAGTTTAACCGAATATGTCTCACGAGCCGGTATGCTAGAAACAATAGTCCTTTAGTAGTAAAGCAAAAACAAAAAACGTTATTGTTTTTTTTAATAGAAGATTCATCCATATTGTACCTAACATGGAAGTATAATCTAATTAGACATGATATTGTGAACAGCAATGACGCATACCCAATCAAAGTATAATTACAGTTATTTTGAACATCAATTAAATAATTTAATTACAAGTGTATCGTTGTGAGGAAAACAAATATGTAGATATTTGTTTGTACATGTGGTAAACAATATACGGAAAATAACAATAAATCTAAGTAAAGTAGTATTATGTTTAGATAAATGTCATATCCTTATACATATAAGGTAGGGCTTTAATGCAGATATAGTATTTAAACTTTAAATGGATACAATAAAGTCTACTGTATGTATGTTCTGTTAGATCAAATATTTATAACTCAAGAATAGCTCAACCAATTTTCATGTTACCATGACAAACGTTTAAAGAAAAATTTTGATTTCTATTATTAAAAGAAAACACATTTTAGTACAGACACCTAAACTTTAAGCACCTTGTCAAATTAACCTCTAGTCTGACTATATATGACACACAGTAGAAAACACACTATATTTCGCATTATATTAATACATAGATTCACAACTTCATCGCTTTTGTAATAGAATTGAAAATGTACTAACATCATGACAAAGAAACACTTTTAAAATATTCTTCTTTTTCAGAATCACAGTTCGTCTCGGCGAATACGACACTCAACAAGATGTGGACTGTATTGACTCGGTCTGTGCTGACCGTCCTCAAGAGATTCGAGTGGCTTCTGCTTTCCCCCACCCTGGATACTCCGACAAGAACAAGAATAGGCAGGATGACATCGGTATCGTGAGGTTGGCTACCAGAGCTACTTATACATGTAAGTTCATTTCGATAGTTCAACTATTTATTTTAAATCCATGCGCTTTTTAAACGTCAAAGTAGTCCGCTAATGAAGCTAGGTAGCGGCTGTTTGTTACCAAGCGTAACCTTGTGTAGAGATAACGTTTTAAATTATAACTTACTTTGATTCTTATCATCTCTAGTTATATTTATAAAAAGGGATTTGGGCTAAGGCTTGTGCTTTTGGACGTCCATTTTGAAGACACGGTGGTCGTTGAGCAAGAGCAACCTGTTACTGCGCGACCCAATACAGGTCCAATTATAGCACGAAGCAGCCTCTGTATATGATTTTTGTGCGCATTTACGAATTCTCCTATTACAATGCCCATTAAAAATTACATTATTAATCTTACAATGACCTTTTATTTCAGACTACGTCCAGCCAATCTGTCTGATAGATAACAGAGCACGTTTGGACGTCGGCAGCGATGTATACGTCGCTGGATGGGGTAAAACCCTGAATGGTACGTACACAATTACTATCGATTTTAAACAGGTACTTTCCAATTCCCACTAATTCTACGAATTAGGTTTATAAACAAATCGGTAGTGTCGGGTTTTACGTATAATTTGAACGCAAGGTCGGCTCGTATTTTCGTTGATTGTTATGACTCAGAATAATAATTATACTACGGTCTTCGAGTTGTTATGTACTCATGTTTTGCTTGTAAAATGTTTATTTACAAGTACGTGAAGTTCTTAGAACGCATCAATATCATTAGTCTGTTTTTCCCAGGCTGAGGTTGAACCTATTAGTTCAGATTTTAGTTCCCAGTTGTGGTTGTTTCTAACAGATGTGCGAGTCAGTGCCTACTGAGAATTTCCAAATAAAAAACATGATCTGCGTAAGATATGTGTCTACATCCTTGTGTTTAGTAGTTCCCTACGTTTGTGGCGATTAGCAAATTCATCATTACAGTTGAATTTTATCAATTTTGACTGCCTCGTTGGCCGAGTGGTCGCAAGTGTGACTGCCGGGCAAGGGGTCTCGGGTTCGATTCCCGGGTCGGGCAAAGTATTAATGGGTTTTTTGGTAGCACGGAGTCTGGAATTGTGTCCGGTATATGGCAATAGGCTCACCCCATATTACATGTGACTCTTAACATTAGTAGTGAAAAGTGGTACATTGTACAGTGGCATAATGTGCATCTCTGCCTACCCCTTTGGGGATAAAAGGCGTGATGTTATGTTATGTTATGAATTTTATCAAATGAACAAGCAGTATTACGGCAATGATTTTATGCAATTAGTTGGTTTATCATATATCAGACACTTTTTCACAATAAACTGTAAAACTTATCTACCCTTAGGTACTCCTTTTCTAACAATTCTTTACAGGAAAATACACCTAGTTTGTAGTCCAGTTAGGTGCATATTAATTAAAGCATTTTGTTATCAATCACGTGTATCAATAGCTCCTAGGTCAGATGCCTGTATTGTATAAATAATTCATTAATTGATGATCTGCTTGTGGTAGGAATTTTTTGCGGTTTACCAACGGAAGCATGTTTCTTTGCATTTTAAGTGGAAGAAGGGAATTAATTTAAACATCTATAGGGTGTTAGGTTCTATGAATGAATGACGTAATTAATACCCTGGTGGTGTATAGATATACAAACTATAATTACGTGCTTATAAGAGCCCAGCGCTGTAAGAGAATGAAGCCTTTGAACAAATGTGCATACAAGTTTCTTTTTAAGTTCTCTTTTGTCTAACAGTATTAAGCATACTTTGTACCGGTAACTAATGATGGTGTTAACGTGTTTGTCAATGTTAGATTAACCAATATTGATACTTCATACAGTTTTTCTAAGACGTAACCCACCTGACGTCAATTTGTTCAAATTTACCTTGGCATCTCTTTAGATACATACATACATACATAACATCACGCCTTTTATCCCCAAAAGGGTAGGCAGAGGTGCACATTATGCCACTGTACAATGTAACACCCACTTTTCACTATTTATGTTATGAGTCCCATGTAATAGGGGGTGAGCCTATTGCCATATACCGGGCACAATTCCAGACTCCGTGCTACTACTGAGAATTTTTAAAAACCCCAGTAATACTTTGCCCGACCCGGGAATCGAACCCGAGACCCCTTGCCAGGCAGTCGCACTTGCAACCACTCGGCCAACGAGGCACTCTTTAGATACATAGCTCAATAATTATTATCATTTAGCACAGTGACTATCAAACAAGGGATTTCCACTTTACCTCGAGGTTCGAATTTAAAGCCTATCGCTTGATATTAGGATTAACAACCAATCGACAGACATTGTGAAGCGAATCATTAATAAAATCACATCCGTTTATTTACAGGTCGCAACAGCCCCATAAAACTGAAGCTTAATCTCCCAATATTCAACAAGCAAGAATGTGACGATAAATACAGAGGACTTGGTGCTATTCTTAGTGATAACCAGATCTGTGCTGGAGGAGTATTCGCAGAGGACGCGTGCAGAGGAGACTCCGGTGGTCCTCTGATGAAGAAGACTCCGAATGGAATCTGGGAGGTTGTCGGTGTCGTGTCTTTCGGTTATGGCTGCGGTAGAGACGGCTGGCCAGGAGTCTATACCTCCGTGGCTAGATACATAGACTGGATCCAAAATACTATTGCATCGTCCAATGTCTAATGCCATTATTACTAGTCTACATCTTGGATGCTCCGAAACTCCAATTCTCACTCAACAGTTTCGGACCCATCCAATGTTCTTGTGTCATGTGATGTAATTCGTTTTTAATTTTAGTCAAATACAATTTTTATAAGGAAACCGTGTTTTTTTGGAAACGTAACCATCAATTATGTTTTTTGGTGGACTGGCTTTACATGGCTGTAAAGTTGAATCTATGTGTGACGTCAATCCCACACCGAACGTGCTGGAACCAATTAAAACTTTTCCATTAACTTTGACCAAAAATGTATAAAACTCATTCTGGCGGATAGACGCGCGAATTAGTTTTATTTTTTTATTATAATACCGTGGCAATTTGATGCATTTCTAATGTTTCTGTCACTTTCTCCAATTAAGCCGTGCTCCGTGTGGGTTCACCGCAATAGTTCAATGATATCGGCTTTGAACTTGTGACCCCGATCGGTATAACGTCATTGCTAGAAAACAGCGTTTATTAGATACTATTCTAGTGACTGTTTAAGTTTTGAAATTGCCTTTGGTTTGTTTTAAGAATAAAAAAGTTTATTATGTTATGGGATAAATCTGTTTGACTTGTTTACAGCTGAAATATTACTAAACTAATTTTAAAAAGTCTGTAGTAAGACAGAAAGTACTAAATATAGACATCTTTTTCGAGTTTCAGTCAGTTTGTGAAAAATCTATAATATAATCCGTACAATACAGTGAAATAACAATAACCTTTAGGTGCTGATCACGTCGTATAAGTAACTTAAATTACATTTGAATGTTTTACCCAAAATAGAAGGGGTCCAAAAGTCATCGAGGAGTCCCCAAACATTTTGGAACAAAGATATTCAATTAGTCGTAACGTATCATTTGCATATAGGTGTCGCTAGCTATCAAATTAAGTGGCGCGCTGACACTTTGGCTCGCATAATTAAATCATTTACCCTTTACAAAGTTATGCGCTCCTGGTACCCAAAGGGTAATATGTAAATTTTTTGATGACGATAAAATCGATTTTTATTGTTGTTTCAATATGTGGTTAAGATAAATAAAAACTGCCCTTATTGGTAGCAACTGCGACTGGTGCTGAGCAAAGCGTTTTGAGTTCGATTACTGGAGTTTTTCAGTAATTTCTTGAATCGTGCCCAGTGATTTCTTTTACTATAAATATGCGATTGAATAGTTTTAAAAGCAGAATTTAATAACTAAAAACCTATAAACAACATTTATACAATTCATGACGTGGGTCACATTGTATTGACTTTGATGGATCGATGACCTTCACGGCAAAATACCGGTTAGCCGATATTACCTGTACCTACATAGTTTAATACATTTGTGCATAGTCTAGCATAGTATTGAAATAAAAAATAATGAAGTTTTTTATTGTAACTGGACGGTGTTGTCACGGTAATATATTGTGATAATATCACGGGTTACGCTCCTTAACGGCTCAAACACAAAACTGCGATGCGGCGTCGCATCACAAAATTGTGCGAGCTCCCTCTATGCATTGCAAGAACTTGTGAATTGATTCGCATCGCGCATCATAATCTTACCTTCCCATAATCTTCTTTGTTTCTTTTTCCTGTATTTCCTAAGCAATAACAGAAGTGCACACTTCTTTTTACGATCCATGTAAAAAGTAAAATGTAAAAAATAAAAGTTATATTGCAAAACACCTTAGATTGATGATGACATCCCATTCATTTTTTTTATTTTACTTCAATGAATGATTAATAGTAGTTTTGTATGCATATCAACAATTTACCGATGGCCAAGTAAATTTGCATACAGATCTTTCAATGGGATTTCCAAAGGTTATACTTGATTTAGAACAATAAATGATTTTTCTCACGATTCGATCAATAGTATCGACTAGTAGATTGATGTAATGTGATTGTGACAAACTACAGTACATTGTATATACAGGTTTATTATGTTTTAACAAGTGAAGTAATTTTTAGTTTCTTTTAGTTAAGAACATCACGGGAAAAGACGAGGTTACTTAGTTATTCCTACCAAAAAAGCAGTAACAATAATTTTAAAAAGCTCTTTAAACCAGCTCCATGAATTATTCGAATAATGATTAAGAAATATTCAAAAAACTAAAACAATGAACCCATAGATTACTTTCATTACTTACTTTCGTAAGTTTATATGCGTATCTATAATTCTATTCTATATATATATAAAAATGAATCCTTTTTTCCGTTGGTCACGGCATGACGCGTGAATGGCTGGAGCGATTTCATTAGTTCTTTTATTGTTGTATTTGTTATTATTAGGAGAAGGTCTTAAGATAGAAAAAATGGGAATGTTTTTATATTTAAGTAAAAATAAATAAAAATATATTTCTAACACACACATGTAACAGGAAGGAATGATTCATATTCGCTCGAAACGATCCCAGCGGGACTTCGCAAGCGTACATCTCGCGTGAAAACTGAATGCTTAGGAAAAATATACGCATTGCATGCTTCTCGTGCGTAACAATATATCGTGTGTTTCTAAGCAGAGTAAATAGATCGCTTATTTAGAAGTTTTTTTTTTATGGAATAGGAGGCAAACGAGCAAACAGATCACCTGATGGTAAGCAATAAGCGCCGCCTATGGACACCCACAACACCAGAGGAGTTAGATTTGTAATCCTATTTAGGTTTTGAACTGAATTGAAAAGCTTGCCGCCTTTTACATGGTAATCTTAACATAACGAAACGACATGTCAGGAACATAACAGTTTTTTTAAATAAACGTTACCCCACACTAGGATTTTCCCCTGTGTCGTGGGTACGTTTACAAACATACAAGTTCATTTACACGAGACACCCAGACCCGGAACAACCCGAACAACATTCTATGGATCACACAAAGAGTTGTTCCGTGCGGGAATCGATCCCGCGACACGTTGCGCGGCAGTCAGTTGCCCAGCCACCGCGCCAACTTTATTCTTTTTTTTTATGCGCTTTCTTTCCTTGTGCGAAACGCTATGCATACGTAAAATTCTTTGCCAGAGCTGTGCTTCCAGAAGGGTATGCCCAGGGTATCTTCAAATCTCGAGTTAATAAGTTGCTTAAGGTAGGATTGCTGCATCATCAGCCACATCATCGCTTACAAGATAGTGGCCAAATGCTGACATAATCTATTGATAACCTAACTTATAAATATTAGTAGGACGTGAGAGTTTATATATTTGTTACCGACTTCCAAAAAGGAGGAGGTTCTTAATTCGGCCGTTTTGTTAATCCTTCACGTCAATACGGCTGAAGGGACCAGAATAAAATTTGCAACAGGGGTATAGGGACGAGAAGCCAGTTAAGTATAAAAAAGAAAATAATAACCGTCTTCTTTGCTTGACTTTTTATCATATAGCAAGCAAAGTATCAATCACACTCTGCTTGCTTCGGTTCGACAGTCACATTAGAGACCACAGAAGCATTTTTAGACACGACTTTACCTATCTATGTAAATATAAATACTATCAGATATTCCGATAAATAATTCCAATAACACACAAGAGTTTTCCTCCAATACCAACGATAGGAACAAAAAAGCACAAAACTTGTATGAAAATAAGTAATAAATCAAAACTGTGAATACATTCATTTATTTCTCGGTTAGATAACAAACACACGGAGGGGAAACTGCAATCGGAAAATAAAAATTACGACAGTTTAAAAGTAGGCGCCATTTACATAAAACTACTATATTGGAAATGATATACTATGTGTAGTCCACCCCATTTGTTCTTCTCATGAAATATAAATGTGTTTTGGATAACTATGGGTGGGTACTTTAAAAAACATACTAGAATTTCCTCTTGCATTGTATCTGGGCCTGTATCGCGAAATGTTGGATTAAACTTTGTTCATTTAAGGCTGATTTTAGTCTCACGCTCGTAGTTTGAGAGACGACGACCAAACCGTAGCTTCATCCGTCAGTGTCGACCGACGCACGCGTTATTCTAAAACGTTTTATAGAAATTTATTTGTTTCGGCTGTCAGCGCCGATGATCAGTGTGCTGTCAGTGCCAAATCCAGCCTTAAAATCCTTAACATTCCTACAACACTAACTGTGATACTCAGAGACATGTAATGATTACCTAAACTATTCCTTAGTAACGTTTTTGTTCCGAAAACCATTGCTAAAAACTGGGTTAAGTAGTCATTAACGGCCATTTTCTATAATCTGATGACATACGCTACATACAAAATGTATCAAAATTCTATCTCAATAAGCAAATCTACAGATAGATAGGTTATAGAAAATGGCCGTAAATGACTCTGAGTACGACGGTTTTTTTTGAGCGGGTCATCGAATGACTACTCCCGCCTGGGTGAAGCGGGGGGGAGTGTCAGACTCTTACTGACTAAAAACCACCTCGTTCCTTCTCCTGCACGTCGAGCCGGAGCCCCGGTAACGACGGTAAGGGCCGAATTTCCAGTGAACAGTTAATTTTTAACTTTAGAATAAAATTGACATTTGACATTTTCCAGTTAGTTATTTATCTGGCGTTGGAAAAATCGGCCCTAAATAAAAGTGTACCTATCTTACAAGAAATGAAGCAACAAAACAAAGAACGGGCATCATAAAACACTACAAGATAAAGGGAATGTAGAAGAAAATGTTCGCTGAAACCTTTTGAAAAAAGTAAACAATTTTAGCGTTATTTGTAAGAGTATTTACTGGCATCGCTCACGAGTATATCGTGCTATTCGTACTTAACATTATCTCAATGAAGACATTATTAGATTCCTTTTATCTTGTCTGTTTTGTATCGGAGTTTTTTCATGTTGGCTGTATTATATCTTTTATGTCAATTTTGACAGTACGAGACAGCTTTTCTATGTCTCTCTTTTTACAATAATCTAGGAGTCTCACTTTAATTTCTTACGAGCGTTAGTTACAAAAAGAATTAAGAAAATTACTTTAGGCGTTTTCGAGCTTTGCTCTTACTAAAAAAATTAAACAATTTTTATTCATTAATACGATGT